TAAAACTAAAATTCAACATCTCTCTTTAACTTAATAATAATAATAATATTGCACGTGTGAAAAAATAAAATCAAAAATAGAATCATATTCTTGCATAATGAAAACAAATGTTTGCTAATCTAAAAATATATAGATGATGTTTATTTGTTATTATATTGATTTTCTTCATTTTGAACTATTGGATTGGATTTTGATACATAGTTTGCAGTCGTTGTTATGTTTCTCATGTTTCTCGACTATGATTTATAGTTTATCGATGATATTTTAATAGTTTGATCTTCTTTTATGGTCTGTTTGTCGATGTAGTTATGTTTGTTCATATAAATATTTTGTTCAAGCTTTTTGGTTTGATTTTTAACACTTTCCTTGTATGGTATCAAATGACTAGTTTATTGTGTTAATGATTATAGGAAAATATCATACTATGACACATGGCTTACTATGGTTGTAGCTGGGCAGTTAGTCGAAGTTGTTGAAAAAGAGGTTAGTCTGTTATGGCTAGCTGTGTAAGCTAGGGGTTATAAGATGATGTATATTCTTTGTATACAGTGCATGAATAATATGATGTATTCTCTTTAATAAGTTTCATATGGTATCTTTCGCTAAACGTTCCTGAGGTGTTCGTTCTTTTCTTCTCATTTTTGCTGCTTCATCTTCTTGACAATGTGGTTTTCTGCGACCATTAGTAAATCTTTCACGAACAAGAAGGTTAATATCATCCTTAATTAAACGAATTTCTTGCTGCGGAAGCAACAAGTTCTGCTTATAGTTCGTATCGTAGTCATCAGCTTGAGCACATGTTGATCGGTTCATTGCAACCACTGCCTAAAATTGTTGTTGATGGCAACGGTGATACAGTTCCCAATGAGTTTTATGAAGAATTTATTGCCTAGGACGGTGCCATTGCATCTTGGCTACTGTCAACGATCAGCTCTCATATGCTTTCTCAGGTCGTTAGAGCATAAACGCCGATGACCGTTTGAAGCACGATCCTACAGTTCTTTGCGAACTGATCTACCAGGAAAGTTAACAGCTTGCGCTATAAGATACAGTCACTCATACGTTAGCCTCGTGTGACAGTGCGATTCCTCAGGCTGAGCATGTTGCAAGCATTTTGAAAGGTCTCTCCAAGGAATATCAGTCGTATATGGCATTTATAACCACTATGAAAGACTCGTTGTCCCTTGACAAAATCTGCTCCATGCTGATTGATGTTGCTGGGTTCGATGCTCAAGAGGTGACCTTACCAATGAGTGTCCATCTGGCTCATGCAACTACTGAACAAAGTTGAATAGTCGTGGTTATCATGATCGTCAAAACCCTCATCACAAGTCTAGTTCTGGTGGTCAAACTAGGGGGAGAGGGTATGGTTATCCTCGCGTTCAGTGCCAACTCTGTGGCAAAAATAGTTATCTGGTTGTTGATTGTTAGTATCGACTTGATAAGTCATTCTCTAGGAAGCCTTCTGATCATGGTAATTCCAAGGATGGCTTAGGTAATGCCAGTTATTTCAATCTTGAGATGGGGTCTGTTAACGGTGATGGCTTTCCATGTTGTGCTAAGGGTCGAGCTAAAGTTCAGATGTGTTATTAGTCTTCGCTTCAAGCACATGTTGCTATTGTCATTCGTAAGCACTGGGTGGTAGATTCTGGAGCCACGCATCATGTGACCCCAGACGCAGCCAACATTGCACACAAAAATGACTTCTCTGGTCCAGATAAACTAGTTGTGCGTTATGGTGTTCCTCTAACTGTTAATGTTGCTAGTAGTTCGATGCTATGCTCGTCTTTTCCAGCCTTGATGTTAAATGATTCATTACATGTTCCTAAGATAACAAAAAACCTTGTTTCTGTCTCTAAGCTCGCTAGGGAAAATGGAATTTATGAGTCTCCCTTTCAATTGGTGTTTTCTAACTTGTGGGGTCCCTTCTATGATGTATCAAATGGATTTTGTTATTATGTGAGCTTTGTAGACGCATGCACTCATTACACATGACTATACTTTCTTAAGGATAAGTCACGAGCAGTTCATGCCTTTCATCTATTCTAGCAGCTTGTCATGACACAATTTGGAACATGAATTATAACTGTTCAGAGTGACTGTGGAGGATAGTTCAGAAGCTTGTCTGGTGTGCTGCTCAAGGCTGATATTTCTCATCGTCTTACCTGCCCCCACACGTCCAAACAAAACGATATTGTGAAAAGGAAGCACAGACACGTTATGAGCTTGCACTTGTGCTCCTTGCTCAAGCATCGATGTCAGTTCAGTTTTGGGCTTATGCTGCTGTGGTGGCAATGCATCTTATCAACAGGTTGGCAACAAAGGTCTTGCAAGGTGCTTCTTCGTTTGAACAGTTGTTTCACAAAAGACCTGATTACAGTTTTCTCAAGGTGTTTGGGTGTCAATGTTTTCCTTACTTGCGACCATACAATAAACATAAGTTGGAATTTCGCTCTCTACCTTGCACGTTCTTGGGAATCAGTCCACAACATCGGGGGCTATCTGCGTCTTGGGTCAAATGGACGTGTGTATGTGTCTAGACGTGTTATGTTTGATGAATAGAAATTTTCTTTTGTAGGTAAAGGCACTGACAAGCAACAACCTGGTGTCCCAGTCTCGTGCGGGCCGTTTGAGGTGCTAATGGATGTTAGCAAGCTTAGTAACCATATAGCCATTGCCCATGAGTCTCCAGGTGCTCAGCATAGTTTTCACCATGAAGATGTATGTGCTGTCACTCCAGCTAATAGCTTTGAGCCCCCTGTTGTGTCAGCTAGTCTTGAGGAATCAGAAGACAGTACTGCTGAGCACGCTATCTCACATACCAGTGCAACGAGAAGTATAGGTGATGAAGGACCTAGTTCATTACCCGCTTCTTAATCAGGGAATCCAGTGGGCAATCGTCACTCTATGTTAACTCGGAGCCAGTGTGGGGTGTTCAAACACGAGGTCTACACCAGTTTTCTAGATGATGTTGTACCATCTAATGTATATGAAGTGCTCCAGTCTCCAAAATGGGCAGAGGTAGTTAATGTTGAATTTTTTGCGTTACAACAAAACAAGACTTGGGTGTTGGTTGAGTTGCCTGAAAGGAGTGTGGTTGGATGCAAATGGCTATTTAAGCTTAAAAAATCCTAATAAAACAGTTCATCGCTACAAAGCTCGATTGGTGGCAAAGAGCTACTCACAGGTGGCAGTACATGATTTCAAAGACACCTTTAGCCCTATTGTTAAGTTCTCCATGTTATATATCATTCTTATCATTGTTGTCACGAGGAGATGGACCTTGAGTCAAGTAGACATTAATAATACATTTTTGAACAGGAATTTGAGTGAAGATGTCTACATATAGCCCCATGCTTCGAGCAAATGTACTTCAAATGGAACTCAGCTCGTGTGCAAACTACAAAAGGTGTTGTACGAACTGCGTGAAGCATCGCGCAACTGGAACGAGAAGCTTAAGAGCAGACTATTAGATTTAGGGTTTGAGTAGTCACGAGATGATGTATCAATGTTTATTCGAGAGAGAAGTGGGGGTTACACATACATCTTGGTGTATGTAGATGATATAATAATCACGAGACACTTAGATGAAGAAATTGAAGTGGTAGTGAAAATGCTCAATGACAAGTTCTCACTCAAGGACCTCGGTGCTCTCACGTACTTCCTTGGCATTGAGGTTAAGAGAAATGAAGGTGTTTTGGCCATTAGTCAAAGGAAGTATATCCTGGAGTTGTTAGAGAAGACAAACATGACTAAGGTTACGCCTACCTGTACACCAATGGTTGCTGTGTCAAAGTTAGCGGGACAAGTCGGTGCTCTTATTTCTAATGTTTGTGAAGAGTGACAAACACATAACTAAATATTCACAGAGTCCAAAATATTAAACTATTTAAAAAAATATAAATACTTATTAGGTATTTAAACTTAAAATTAAGCACGAACCAAATGATTTCGGTAATTAAGAGATCGTTGTTATCCTTGAGGTCTCGAGGTCGAGCATTGCGCATGTAGGGGTTGAGCGTTCATTGTCAAATAGTTGACAGTCTTTGTACATATATTACCTTGTACTCACCAAAGATTTATATAAAAAAAAAACTCAAAATTCACAAGTTAACACCTAATTTGTCTAATATTTAAACTTAAAATGACCTAAATTGTTATTAGACCAAAAATTTTGAGAACACGGGTTATCATTCTTTATTTCGGTCCTTAATTAAATATTCAATAAATTCTTATATTTTTTTAATTTAAATATTTATTTTTACATGAACCAAAATACTATTGACCAAAATTATATCGAATATACAAATTTTAATAGTAGTTGGGACCCTTTGGGCTCTCACTAAGCCCCGCCCCTGTTTGTGAATATCGCAGTATTTTGGGAGGCATTGTTTTATGTTTACCACACCAGACCAGACGTGGTGCTTTATGTTAACAAGGGAGCTCGATTCATGCATGCTCCATGTGAGGTCCATCTTTTGGCAGTGAAGAGGATTTTGAGCTATTTAGCTAGAAGCTTGGACTACGGTTTGGTTTTTTCAGCAACGGATGCAAGGTTAAATATAAGAGCATTTTCTGATGTTGATTGGGGTGGTGATGCTGAATATCGTCAGTCCATGTCTGGTCGTGGAATGTTTGTGGGTGATTGTCTCGTTGCTTGGAACTCAAGGAAGAAGGAAACTGTGTCTCGTTCAACAATGGAGACAGAGTACATGAGCATCGCCGATGCTGCAGCTGAGGTCAGGTGGGTTACTTCCCTGTTGAAAGATTTAGGGGTGACTCAACAAGATGAACTAGTCATCTGGTGCAACAATGCAAGCGCAATTGCGATGAGCGCAAACCCGTGTATCATGCTCGATCGGAACACGTGGAACATTCACTTCGTAATGGTGTAATGGACATTCATGATCATAACAGTATAACACCAGTTCAATAATCTAAAAGGGAAACCCAGAAACAATAACAATTTTTTAAAACTGTTCCTATATATTGCATGATTGTTTATGCTTCAATTTGTTTCAAAGTTGTTTTTTGTAAAGACTTGAAATGAAAATATTATACACGGACAATCCAAACCAATAATAGTAAAACTTTAGATTTTGCAGATTTTCTCTTTCAGTATTGCCAGAAGCAATCGAAATCAACCGGTGCAGCTGAAGCAGCGGAAGGGTGCTGCTGTTGACGGTGGTGGTGGTGGTCCAGATTCGATACGACGGAAGAGATTTCGTTGTTGATGTCGGGGGTTAAGCCGGTTTCTTGCGAGACACTAACCATCGTCTCCCTCTCCGTTTTCATGTTCGATCCGTGGTTTTCGAGTAAACCCCTGAGGATCGATTGTTCTTGCATTAAAACGGAGCCTGGGAACTGAAGATTCGATGGGAAAGCGACGGGTTGAGGCGGGAAGAAAGTGTTCGGAGCCGGAATTCTCGGGAGAACGTTTGTCGTGATCGCGTTCGATGGAACAGGGAGGAGTAGAGGGTTGTTGTCGGGGAAATTATCGATCGGATTGGAGAAGCAGGGCACGTAAACCGAATCAGAAACTTGGTTTTTCTTGGTATTTAAAACAGAAGAAGAATCCATTAATGGCGGAAGGCCAGGAGGACTCAAAATTTCATTTCCAAATGAACCAATGTTCAGAAGACCCGAAATATGGGTTTTTATCCCACCAGAATTCTTTTGAAACACCCTGCAGATAACCCATTCATTCTGCAAAAAAAAATGAACAAGATGAAAGAACTCCATGGATTATCTTTAAAAAAACAGAGAAAAAAACCAGATTTACCTTGGCGGTTTTAGGGACATTATGGACTGAATATTTGCCTTCAAGCCTGTACTCATGCATCACCCAATTCGATTTTTCACCTTTGGGAGCTCTACCTTTGTAGAACACCAGTGTTTTCTTCATTCCAACCAATGATTTCCCTTTATAAATCTCTTTGTCTTTGCCTGTTGCCTTCCAGTACCCTGATTCAGTCGCCCTGTTCGTCCTCAAACCAGTCGGGTATTTCCTGTCCCTCACGCAGAAAAAATACCACTCTTTCTCCCCCATTTTCGCTTTCCCTTCAACCAAACAAACCATAAGAAAATTTTGGTAACATAAAAAAAGGGTGAAGAAATGAAAGGAAAAAAAATAAACTCTTACAAGGCAATTCCCATGGCTCGGTCTTGTTCAAATCCACCTCTCCAATGGCCTTAGCACTGAAGTTGATGTCGAGAACTCTCTTGTACAAGTAGTGAGAAATAAGCTCTTCATCCGTTGGATGAAACCTGAAGCCCGGAGGCAATTCCATTTGATCGTCTTCTTCACCGATTACACCATTTTTTTCCATTCTCAGCTGAAAATCCTTACACAAAAACACCCTTTAACAGCTGAATTTGTTATAGTCCAAAGCAACTTGCTTACATGATGAGAATGATGAAGAAAGAGAGGGATATGGAGAAAGGTTATACAAAAGCCATGGAAGCAAAAAAGCAAGTAAAGCTTAAAGAGAAGAGGGGATGTTTAAGAGAGAAAAAGGCAGCATGAGACACAAAAGCCCCCTAAATACTGGTGGCTGGTGCATACTGAGAGATAGAAACGTGGTTTGTAACGCAACTTGCTTGCTTGTTTTATACCATCTCGGTGATACTAGACATCACATGATAAAACTAATAAAGAAACATAATATAAATTATAAAATACCATTTAATAAGAATTCACGGAATGACCTCGATGGTAAATGAGAGTATCGTTCTCCCTAGAAGTCTCAAGTTCGGATAGTTATGCCTGCGGAGTATGTATATTGTCAGCAGTTTATAAATGATTTAACTCGTCTTAATAGGTGCTCGCACTCACTCCATATATGTGTACAAATTGTGATAAAATTAATTGTTAACACGTCATATTCTATTGTAACGTTGATTCTTATAGCGCTTATTACCCATTATTGATAATGATATTTGTTGCACGAATCAAACGAACTGAGTAGTTAAAAAACTTGTTGTTGTATTTGATATTTGTTTATATCTTTTATTTATATAAATTATTTTATTATTTTGTATGTATAATAACTAAAAATAATTTAACACTGTTTTATATCTTTGATATTTGATTGACAATTTCTTATAAGAAATCATATTGTAGTGGAGAATTTAAATATCGTTTCAAGTCAATTCTTTTATGATTAATTTATTTTTGTTTTTATTTTAACAATTGTCATAGGGTTATCAAGAAGGTGTATAGCGCTGGAAACGAGTCGAGTCGAGTTCGAGTATTGTGGAGCTCGACTCGAAAATTTAAGAGTCTAAAATTTAGGGTTAAAATCATTTACGGCCTCTCCAAAGTCCAAAAGCTTCTTCGTTTTCCTATTCATTTACAATAGTTTTTAGAGAGAGAAAGTTAGGCACTGTTTGATAACAGTTTTATTGCAAACTGTCATTAGATGAGGGAGGAAATTATAAAGTAAACTTAAAAAGGGGTAAAGAAACTTCCAGTTCATGAACTTAACATTTCTTTTCTTGATTTGGTCCTTCATCTTTTTTTTTTCGCATTAGAACTTAAATTGTTTTTTTTTTTTCATTTTTAACCCTTTTGATGACATGCGACACAAATCCACAATCTCATAGTGTTACAGCATTAAAATAATAAAAACTCATGGACCGTATAAAGAAAATTATCAAATTTGAGGACTAAAAATTATTTTACACCATTTTAAAGGAAGTTTAAAGTTCCATACGAGAAATAATTGAGAGTTTTTTTCAATCAAAATAGCTTCCTAAATGTGAAATTAAAAAAATATTAAAGGAATAGATAAGTCGATAATAATATTTTAATTTAATAATATGATTAAACGATCAATAAGTTTAGGTCAGGGTGGCTCCCCATTCTAGGGTCAAGACATACCTAAGATACAATTGGGATTTACATAAGAGTTTATAGATTGCCCACCAATAGTAACAGTGATAGGATTCAAACTTGGTCTTACAAGCTTAAATTCCAGAATCTCAACTACCCGTGTCAACACTCGTTGGCTAAATTTATTTTGATATGATCCTATTATAAATTGATATTATCAAAATTTATTTCGATATAAACTCAAATATATTTCATATATACGCTAAATTATTTCGATATAAAAAATATTTTATTAATTAATTTTTTTTAATTATATTGTGAGTGATTAGGCTATCTAATCAAATGGGAAAAAATGGAATTGCTGATCTAATAGTATGTTTTAAAATTATTTTTGTAATTATTATAAGAATGTATACATTCTATTTATGTACCATAGTTGGGTCAGCAACATTCCTTTCAAAGAAGAAACCCAATAATTAGAAGCCACGTGTAAAGTTTGGCCTCTTAAGGAATTTCAATTTTCAATTCTGTTTGGCACGTAAAGTCAAACGTCAATACTATTCCACGTATGCCACAATTAAAAAAAGATTGGGAAATTGACTGTCACTGTACCGGAAACTGCCACATGGCGGCTTGATATTGATTTTGCTAAACCAAACTTATGCTTGTTTAATAAACTCTAAGAAGGATTAGGGATTAAATTATTGTGAAAATTGATTTAATTATTATTATTTATTGAGAACTCGAGATCGCACACTAGGAATGTTAAAGGAATGAGTGTTAATGTCAAATAGTTGATAGTTATCTTTGAACATATATTACATTGTACTTATTACATATTAATAAAAAAATATATGTTTACATTTTTATTTTGGTCACTCAACTATTTTTTTAAACAATAAATCATCACTAAACTTATGTTTTTTTCTATTTTGATCATCCGCCGTTAACAAATGAATAAAACTAATGATGTGATAATTTTTTGCATATACTATATTATACATACTATTTGAAAGAATAATGTTATATGTAATTTTGTATTAACAAAGATGAAATAAAATTTGAAGTGTTGAACTATATTTTGATATAAAAAATTTAAGACAAAATGTTTTTGGACTTGAATTGAATTTATTTAAAGTTTTCAAAAATAATTCAAAGTCCTTAAAAGTTTGGAATTGAGCACAAAACAATTTTCTGTACAAGTAGTACTGATATTGTTCTTACAGTATAGATACCTAATGAATAGTATCGATATTGTTCATATGGTACCGATACCAAAGGTAAGGGAAGTATCGATACTCACTAGGTAATATCGTTACTACTAGCAATACTCAAATTCCAGAATGCAAAAATGATATTGATACCGAAATGGGTACCAATACTACTCTATATAGTAGTATCGATACCATAGGCACAATATCGATACCATCAGGCCCCAACGGCTAGTAACGACTAGTTGATTTAAATATAACAAAGGTAGTACCGATACTCCCTTTAGGAGTACCGATACCCTCTGTTCTGGACAGCTTTATTTTGCACGAAAATTGATCTCCAACGGCTCCAAAACACTCCCAAAGGCTAGAAACGGTCACAACAACATTCCAACACATAAATACAAGTTGAGGACACTTGAAGAAGGGTTAGAACACATATCCAAGCAATCAAACACAAGAGAAGAGTTTTTCAATCTACTTTGTATCTCTCTTGTAAATATTTGTTATTGTGAGCTAAATTTTGTAAACACCCTACCTGGTAGAGGTTTATTTGTTTACTTCTTTTTATCCTTTTAAAAAGGGGTTGGTTCTATCTTAGCCAAGTGGAAAAGATATGGAGTGTAAAGGTTATCTCTTGATCCTTTAAAAAGAAAGAACAAATTAGTGAATTTGTTAGAAAATCATTGGTGATGAGCTAAGGTAGTGGAGGTAGATTTATTTGAGAAGTCAAACTACTATAAATCATTGTGTTCATTGTCTTATATTTTTTCTCTCCTTACTCCCTAAACAAATTTCTATCAATTAACCCCCTTTCACATTTTCAATTGTTCAATTGAGCCTCTTCAAATCCTAACATGAAGGTTTAATTTTTTAGCATATATCTAAAGTTTAAAAATTAGAGACAATAATAGATTTTAAGTAAATTATGTATTTAGTCACTCAATTATTTTCATAGTTCTGTTTTGGTCATTAAACTATTTTTTTCAAAATCATCCTTAAACTTATGTTTTTGTTTTGTTCTAGCCATCTGCTCTTAAAAAATAAACAGAACTATTGATGTGGCAATTTTTTTCAATGATGATATGGCATCACCTTATAGTGACACGCCAACATCACCATTAATTTTTAATGGTAGTTGATCAAAATGGAATAAAAACGTAAATTTAGTGACAATTTTTAACCCAAAAAAAATTAATTGACAAAAAAATAAAATCTTGGAAATAACTAAGTGACTAAACAAGAAGTTTACCCTAGATTTTAACATTCGAGTGTTGAATTAATTAAATGTTACTTTGACAAGAACAAAATGAAAATGTTTGGAATTTTGATTTAGGGTTTGCGTAGCTTACTTTGTGGCATGGTGACGTGTTATTGCCTTGAAAAAAGGAGAGCATATTCCATTCTATATGCACCATAAATACAAGATTAAGAAAGCAATGGACCCATTATCCAGCTGATTTCGATAATTACAATTTAGTAGTTTAAATTATTAAATTTTACAATTCAGCCTTCAAGGATACGTTTAAATATATCTTTTTCAAAGAAGATTTGAATCTCCCATTTCATCAATAAAAAAAACCCTCAAACATTCAATTGAAATTATAAAATGTTACAAGGGACAAATTAACGAGATTTGGTGATCTACGACTCCCATATTTAGCAAGTAAATTGATTTAAGAAAAATAATCTCAAAATTATAATTATAATAAATATTACTATATATAATATCCACGTAATATTCAAATTTGTAAGACTTGGACTTCATTAATACAATCAATGCCTAATTAATATAATATATATATTTATATATATATTACACCTACTATTTATATATTATAAAGGTAAGCTTTTCTCTTCGAACCTTCATGAAATGAATGGAAATAATAATAAGGATGATGAAGTTGCTCGGGACGTGTCTATGAATGCTTGAAGATATGAAACAAAACGAAAGCCTTTCTTTAAAATATTATGTACGTCGAAATAAATTGAAGTGTGTGTTTTTAAATGTCCAATATTTGTTAATAATCTGACTTCTTATATGATGATAAGGGCAAATATCAATCTATTATAGATAGGCATGTAAATCAACCAACGTTCGGTGAACCGTTCGACGGAAAGTTTGCTTATTTATTAAATAAACGAATATGAACAAGGTTTTTTTATTCGTTTAATCAAGTGAACGAACACGAACAAATGGTTCGTTCATTCGTTTACATTCGTGAACGTTCGGTAATCTATTTGTTTAAGTTCATTTGTTTATGTTTGTTCGTTTATGTTCATTTATGTCTGTTTGCTTATATTCAACCCAATTCCAGACCCGTCTAAAATATTATGACATAATTTTATCCTTAAAGCTATTAATTAATATTTTAAAATCCAAATAATTTTAAACTCGAATAACAAAATCAAAATCAATTAAAGAAAATATAAACTCAATTAATATGTTCATTTGTGTTCGTTT